AGTGGTTTAGGACATTTTATTGGATTTTAAATCTTCTGATTTATATTGACCACATCACCCATCAAGTAGTCCAAAAAGTAGGGGTCACTACCATATAACCGACTCATCCCCCCCCCCCTTTTTTTTTAATGACTTAAACTTTCAGTCATGATCATCATCAATTTCCACTTTTTTCGTTAAATGGCGAGGGGAGGAACAATTTGCGATCCCCTGCTTGATGGGTAGCAACGGCTATTGTCATTCTGTGTCGATTTGGAAGATCTTTAACGTCATCAATCCATATTCGCCTATGGCGACCTCTTTCTTTCACATTAGATCCTATCTAGTGTAATTTCTTTGTTGGTAGTTTTTCTAGCTGCATTCTAACGATTTAACCAAACCATTTGATCTTCTGTTTGTCAATTAATGTGACACATGATGTTGTTCCCACCGTATATCTGGCAGTATCATTTCTCACTTTGTCTCGGATGCTTAAGTAGGCGACTTTCCTCGGACATCTCATTTCACAGGTCTTATTAGTCGGTAAACAGGGTGTTATTAGTAGGTAAACAGGGTGTTATTATTAAAAAAAAGGTGTTATCAGTAAGTAGACAGGATGTTATTAGTCGGTAAACAGGGGGTTATTAGTCGGTAAAAAGGTGTTATTAGCAGGTAACAGGGTGGTATTAGTCGGTAAATAGGGTGTTAGCAGTAAGTAGATAGAATATTATTAGTAGGTAAACAGGGTGTTATCAGTAAATATATAGGATTTTATAAGTAGGTAAACAGGGTGTTATCAGTAAATAAACAGGGTGTGATCATTAAATAAACATGGTGTTATCAGTAAGTAGACAGGATGTTATTAGTAGGTAAACAGGGTGTTATCAGTAAGTAAACAGGATGTTATTAGTAGGTAAACAGGGAGTTATTAGTATTTAAACAGGATATTATTAGTATTGAAACAGGATGTTATTAGTAGGTAAACGAGGTGGTATTAGTAGGTAAACATGGAGTTATTAGTAGGTAAACAAGGTGGCATTAGTAGGTAAACAGGGCGGCATTAGTAGGTAAACAGGAAGTTATTAGTAGGTAAAAAAGGTGTCATTAGTAGGTAAAAAAGGTGTCATTAGTAGGTAAACCGGGCGTCATTAGTAGGTAAACCAGGCGGCACTAGTAGGTAAACAGGGCGTCATTAGTAGGTAAACAGGGCGCTATTAGTAGGTAAACAGGGCGACATTAGTAGGTAAACAGGGCGTCATTAGGAGGTAAACAGGGCGCTATTAGAAGGTAAACAGGGCGACATTAGTAGGTAAACAGGGCGACATTAGTAGGTAAACAGGGCGACATTAGTAGGTAAACAGGGCGACATTAGTAGATAAACAGGGCGACATTAGTAGGTAAACAGGGCGCCAGTAGTAGGTAAACAGGGCGACATTAGTAGGTAAACAGGGCGACATTAGTAGGTGAACAGGGCGTCATTAGTAGGTAAACAGGGCGACATTAGTAGGTAAACAGGGCGTCATTAGAAGGTAAACAGGGCGACATTAGTAGGTAAACAGGGCGACATTAGAAGGTAAACAGGGCGTCATTAGTAGGTAAACAGGGCGACATTAGTAGGTAAACAGGGCGTCATTAGTAGGTAAACAGGGCGACATTAGTAGGTAAACAGGGCCACATTAGTAGGTAAACAGGGCGCCAGTAGTAGGTAAACAGGGCGACATTAGTTGGTAAACAGGGCGACAGTAGTAGGTAAACAGGGCGTCATTAGTAGGTCAACAGGGCGTCATTAATAGGTAAACTGGGCGTTAGTAGTAGGTAAACAGAGCGACATTAGTAGGTAAACAGGATGTTATTAGTAGGTAAACAGCGACATGGAACCTCCCTGGTGTGGCGGCGAGGTGCTCGACTGCGGATTTGTCTATTCATTAGGATCATCATGTTTTTATCATTATCACTATCGTCGTCATAATCATCATCATCGTCATCCTCATTTAGCAGATCCTTTACATAACGACTCTCTTATTACTGTACACTAGAAAGCCACTAGACCCTCTGTTCTTGTAAACTTGCATGCCCTAGCATGTCCTAGATTCCAAGGTGTCGAGTTAAATCCCAGCTACGGGCTATTTGGCAGCAGACAGCCTTGCGTAGGTTTCTACAGGTGTATCAAAAGCCAAGAGAGAGAGAAAGAGAGAGAGAGAGAGAGAGAGAGAGAGAGAGAGAGAGAGAGAGAGAGCTACTAACGAAAAATTACCTAGTGAAACCCCAGAGCAAACAATCCTGGGGTGGGGGGGGGGGGGGTTCTGCAACGATGTTGTCTGAATTGACGTTCGAAACCATCAGGACATCACACTGAGCGATAAACACCCGGTGATACAAGGTGCCAACATTCGGATGAAGAACAGCCGTGGAGAGGTAGCAGAAACCTCGTTCAACCCATAGGTTGGGTTACATTATGGCCACCGGCAACAACCGGGTGGGACTTTTAAATAAAACGAAAAATGTGTATTCTTTAAAGAACATGGAGTTGATAGGTATGACTGCAACGTTCTGTAAAGGATTTACAAATAACGTGGTTGGGGGGGGGGGGGGTGGTGTCTGAGACCTAGGATATAAGGCATGGCTAGTGTAGTCGCCACAAACCTCACTAATTCCTTACGTCCTTCTTAGGACGTAATTTTTTGTTATTTGAAGCCCCACCCTGGCTTTTGCCAGGGGCCGCAATATAGACAGGCCATCAATATGGCCAATTGTTTGAACGCGGTTTCTAGGACCCCTCCACGGTGATCCTCATCCGCATGGTGGCACTTTGTGTCATCTGGTGTTTATCGCTTGTGTGATGTCCTGGTGGGGTAGAAAGTCAGTCAGTCAGTCGCCACAAACTGTACAGATTAGAATTGTGTGTGTGTGGCCTCCAGCACCCGAGGGGGACACCATGCCCCGAGACCACGCAGCCCTGGTGTCGTACACAGGGTGCAGTCTTCGCTTCCCGTGAGTGTGATTCTGTTCTTCTTAACGTCCATGCCGAGTGGCGTTGGTAGTCATGTCCAATCCACAACTTTCTGTCTCGTGTACTTCCAGTCAGCTCCGACACAGATGATCCTCCATGTCATGAAATCAAACTTTATAGCATCTGTTCTTTCGATTTTCCTCTTCCTCTCCTTCCCTTTAACTTTCCTACCGTCACGATATACTCCAGTTTTCTCCTTCTCATGACATTACCAAAGATTGTGGATTGTTTCTTTCTGATGTGGGTAATCAGTTCTATTCTTGAGTCAGTTTCTTTCTGATGTGGGTAATCAGTTCTATTCTTGAGTCAGTTTCTTTCTGATGTGGGTAATCAGTTCTATTCTTGAGTCAGTTTCTTTCAGATGTGGGTAATCAGTTCTATTCTTGAGTCAGTTTCTTTCTGATGTGGGTAATCAGTTCTATTCTTGAGTCAGTTTCTTTCTGATGTGGGTAATCAGTTCTATTCTTTAGTCAGTTTCTTTCTGATGTGGGTAATCAGTTCTATTCTTGAGTCAGTTTCTTTCTGATGTGAGTAATCAGTTCTATTCTTGAGTCAGTTTCTTTCTGATGTGGGTAATCAGTTCTATTCTTGAGTCAGTTTCTTTCTGATGTGGGTAATCAGTTCTATTCTTGAGTCAGTTTCTTTCTGATGTGAGTAATCAGTTCTATTCTTGAGTCAGTTTCTTTCTGATGTGAGTAATCAGTTCTATTCTTGAGTCAGTTTCTTTCTGATGTGGGTAATCAGTTCTATTCTTGAGTCAGTTTCTTTCTGATGTGGGTAATCAGTTCTATTCTTGAGTCAGTTTCTTTCTGATGTGGGTAATCAGTTCTATTCTTGAGTCAGTTTCTTTCAATACATTTGCATTGCTCGTTTTTATCTGTCCATAGTAATCTTATCATTCGTCTATATAAACACATCATTGCAGCTTACAAATAAGTTTTCACCAAATAACCAACTGTCCATGATTCACTTCCGTATATAAAGATAGGATTCTTATAGCTTTTAATAATTCTCTTTCTTGTCTCAATTGACATAGAACGATTGCATAAAATATTCATCATTCTCTAAAATGCTGCCTATGCTTGAGCTATTCTAATCTAACTTCTTTATTACATCTTCCATCTGCTATTTTCAAAGAGTGATTATAGTCCTTGATTATAGTCGATGATTATAGTCCTTGATTATAGTCCTTGTTTATAGTCCTTGATTATAGTCCTTGATTATAGTCCTTGATTATAGTCCACATAAATTAATAATTGTTTGTTTTAGCAAAATAGCAAAAATCCAAAATGGCTAAAACTGTACTTTGATATTTGTGTTTTCAGGAAGCCAATCTATCAAGCAATATCTGACTCAATGACAATTGTACGAAATTTCGTTTTCACTTTATAACTAGACTAGATGGTTTTACGTCCTAATGTTTGCAAACCATTGTTATGAATTAGCTCAGGAACATTGCAAAGTCGAGCGGAGTTCTTTCTGTAATATATACGTATATATGGCATTTACTGCTTCACAGTGGACGATCTGTTTGTATTTGTAAATGAATCTTAGCCTTTGAATTAATACTAATCCACGTATATACAGTAATGGATTCTAATATGTCACTTTTAATAAGGGAAGGATATGAGGTATAAACTGCTTCACTGTGAATATTTACTATCTTAGGACATTCTACCGAATCTTCAGGCATAATTTAGCGGTGACCAAACCATTGCCAAATGACAAGGACCATATATCTTTGAAAGCTTTGTAACGTGGCAAACGATTTTATTTTGTTAACTTTACTTAAATATAAATACACATTAGCAATGCAAAGCGATACATTTACTGAAAGATAACTATACACGTCTGAGTTAGTTCAGTAACAGAACGGACTTGGTAAAGAATAAACCCGTTTGTGTGATATCATTCAACAAGCCAATATTCGTGTAATAAGGATAATTATTCTGTGATAGCTTTCGAATGAATAAACTTTTGTAATAGCCAGCAACTTGGATTGTATCGAACGATGCCCCGGAAGCGGAAAGAAGATGTCGATCGAGAGATGGCTGATGGGAAACTGCAGAAGCCTCAGCAGAGGAATGCTGCCAACGCTAGAGAGAGGTCAAGGATGCGTGTGCTGAGCAAGGCTTTCACCAGGTTAAAGGTACGGCGATAGTCTTGTAGTGTTGCTGAGTGTTAGTTTATAAGTGGCTTGTAAGTGACATCATTATACTTACACCAGGGGCTGCTTGGTCTTGAGGCATGGTGTCTGCCTCTAGTGCTGGAAGTTTCAGGTTCATTCCCCGGTAAGGGCTTGGATTTTTTTTCACGTGGACTTTGAGTTCTAGTAATCTCCCTTGGTCTCTGGGTAATGAGTTCGGACGCCCGTGTGCATTGTTGCGCACGTAAAAAAATGCTTTGGCAGTTGGAAATCGAAATGAGTAGCCTAACGGCGCTGCCCGGCCAAAATTTGGAGTTAAAAGTGTTTCAGGATCCTCGCCGATGCTACAGAGCCTGTGCACTATGCTGAGCTTCTTCGGACTCAGACTTGAGTTAGAAGAAGAATAGAGCACTTATAGGTGCCGTGTGCCATGACGTTGGTCCGTTGTTCAAACCTCAAACCGGGCTGCGCCGTTAGGCTAGTATTTTTTATTTCCAACTGCCAAGGGATTTTTGTAGTGTGCAACAATGCACACGGGCGTCCAATCTCACTACCCAGAGACAAAGTGAATTACTAGAAGTCCAAGTCCACGTGAAAAAATCCCAACTCGAACCGGAAATTGAACCCGGAACCTCTAGCACTCGAGGCCGACACCATGTCTCAAGACCATACAGTCCCTTAATACTACCACTAATACTGCTGCTACTTTTATGACTGCAACAACAACAAATATTACTATGATTACAACGACGACATAGATAGTGGCAGCAGTACCAGAAGCTCCAACACTAGCAGTAGGAAGAACAATATTAGCAGCAGCAGTACCAGAAGCTCCAACACTAGCAGTAGGAAGAACAATATTAGCAGCAGCAGTACCAGAAGCTTCAACACTAGCAGTAGGAAGAACAATATTAGCAGCAGCAGTACCAGAAGCTCCACCACTAGCAGTAGGAAGAACAATAATAGCAGCAGCAGTACCAGAAGCTCCAACACTAGCAGTAGGAAGAACAATAATAGCAGCAGCAGTACCAGAAGCTCCAACACTAGCAGCAGGAAGAACAATAATAGCAGCAACTGTACCAGAAGCTCCAACACTAGCAGTAGGAAGAACAATAATAGCAGCAGCAGTACCAGAAGCTCCAACACTAGCAGCAGGAAGAACAATAATAGCAGCAGCAGTACCAGAAGCTCCAACACCAGCAGTAGGAAGAACAATAATAGTAGCAACAGTACCAGAAGCTCCAACACTAGCAGTAGGAAGAACAATAATAGTAGCAACAGTACCAGAAGCTCCAACACTAGCAGTAGGAAGAACAATAATAGTAGCAACAGTACCAGAAGCTCCAACACTAGCTGTAGGAAGAACAATAATAGTAGCAACAGTACTAGAAGCTCCAACACTAGCAGTAGGAAGAACAATAATAGTAGCAACAGTACCAGAAGCTCCAACACTAGCTGTAGGAAGAACAATAATAGTAGCAACAGTACCAGAAGCTCCAACACTAGCAGTAGGAAGAACAATAATAGTAGCAACAGTACCAGAAGCTCCAACACTAGCTGTAGGAATAACAATAATAGTAGCAACAGTACCAGAAGCTCCAACACTAGCAGTAGGAAGAACAATAATAGTAGCAACAGTACCAGAAGCTCCAACACTAGCTGTAGGAAGAACAATAATAGTAGCAACAGTACCAGAAGCTCCAACACTAGCTGTAGGAAGAACAATAATAGTAGCAACAGTACAAGAAGCTCCAACACTAGCAGTAAGAAAAACAATAATAGCAGCAGCAGTACCAGAAGCTCCAACACTAGCAGCAGGAAGAACAATAATAGCAGCAGCAGTACCAGAAGCTCCAACACTAGCAGCAGGAAGAACAATAATAGCAGCAGCAACACCAGTTACTACTACTGCTGACGCTGATGCTACTACTATTGCAACAATTTATTTGCCGAGAGATATTATTCCCTAATGTTTTTAAAATTTTCATAATCTTGTTTTAAAATTGAAGATTTCCCCCTAAACAAATATAATGTGTAGGATTAATATTCCCCTCCTAACCCCTGATGATTATAGTATCAGGATTAATATTTCCCCTAATGATTAGAGTATGTAGGAATAATATTCCCCCTTAATGATTATAAAATGTAGGATTAATATTCCCCCTTAATGATTATAGTACGTAGGATTAATATTCCCACGATGATTATATTATGAAGGATTAATATTCGCCCAATGGTTATATTACGTATGATTAATATTCCCCCTTAATGACTAGATTATGTAGAATTAATATTCCACCTTAATGATTATAGTATGAAGGAATAATATTACCCCTCATTGATTATAGGATATAGGATTAAAAATTCCCCCCTAATGATTATATTATGTAGGATTAATATTCCCCCTTAATGATTATAGTATGTAGGATTAATATTACCCCTCATTGATTATAGTATGTAGGATTAATATTCCCTCTTAATGATTATAGTATGTAAGATTAATATTACCCCTTAATGATTATAGCATGTAGGATTAATATTCGCCCTCAATGATTATGGTGAGGCAAGGAACCAACAGCCTGCATACAACAAAATTCAGACCTGTAAAATGGATGTGCACGCAACAGTCAGGTTCTGGAACAAGACTAAAGTCCAAAGGTGGACAAACAGCCAGAACTTTCCGCTAGAGTTTAAAGCCGGTGAACATGAAAAATGAAAAAAAAATATGATTATAGTATATAGGATTAATATCCCTCTTAATGATTATAGTATGTAGGATTATTATTCCCCCTAATTATTATAGTAGGTAGGAATAATATCCCAGGGATAAGAATCAAACACATCCGACAGATCCCGTTCAACCCTCTAGCTATACAGTACAGTCACAATGGGACGCCACGACCCAGTTACGAAGTAACCGTTGGTTCAGTTCGGGCGAGTTGAATGACTGCATCCCTAATAATACATTCTATGTTAGGATTCCTCGTGGAATTGTACATCCTTTCTACCGTTGACAATCTTCAAAACTGTATAATAACACATCTTGGTTTCTAACAAAGAAACACTGTGGCATTAGGTTTCCTGTCCTTGGTTGGCGAGACATTGGTTCAATCCTATCAGTCATTGATATGCGATTATTTGACTAATTTTCAGTGAAGAACAGACGACCAGGATTGGAAGTGATAATCCCACCTCACATATCTTAGTCTAGTATGTTACAAGATTCAGATTAAACTCATGAGAATCCTCTTCATTAGATCGAATTTTATCCCATTTGGCAAAAGGTCTCTCTCCAAGAACGGCTAACAGCCTACCCAAAGCGCTAACACCGTAGTTCTAGCGACGATCCCCACAGTTTCTAGAGAAACTGCGCCCGTGAACTTATCGTTGCGTCCGTGAAACGAACCCTCAATTTTCAGAGCACGAGGCAAACGGCTTGACCACTTCGTCCTAACCCCCCCCCCCCCCCCCCCTTTTCCTCCCTCTTCCCCACGAAGCCTAGAATGTTTAGATTTAGTTTAGTTTAGTCGACGGATCAACATCACGGCACACGGGTGTAAACACATAAGTGCTCCGTTCTATTTCTAACTCAAGCCTGAGTTTGAAGAATCTCAGCGCAATGCACGAGCACCGTTGCACCAGCGAGCATCCTAAAATCCTTTTGGGTAGATTTTCAACTCAAACATTTGCCCTGGCAGCGCCGCTGGGCTACTCTTCTTCGAGTTCCAACTGCCAAGGGATTTTTTTAACGTGCGTAACAATACACACGGGCGTCAGATCTGACTACCCAGAGACCAGGGAAAATTAACTAGAAATCCACGTGAAAACATCCCAGCCTTCACCGCGGCTTGAACCTGGGTCCTCCAGCCCTCGAAGCGGACACTATGCCTGGAGACCACGCAGCCCCCTATGCCTAGCCTGGAATATGTAAAGTCCTAACACTTCATATCCCACAGAAAATAATCTGCCTTAGCCTTCTAATCAAGTCAGTAAAAAAAAAACGTTCTCATGCCGTTTTCGCATTGGGCACTTGGTGCCAAAATTCATTATTTTTATTTTATTTGTGTGTGTGTGCATGACTTCGGCATTTGAGGTCACTATCACGCTGGTCACAAATGGTACCCATTTCTGGTTGGATCATAATTTGATCCATAATTTAATACCTTTTTTTTTAAATCAAGTAATTTGTTTTTAAAAACATCTTCCCGGGGATCCGAACCAAGACCTTCGGTCTGAGAGGCAAGAGCTACAGCAGCTCCTAATATCTATCTACAAATGCCTAAGACAAATTTTGAACATAAAATGAGATGTCTGGCAATGAGGTGACATGTCTTGGCAACCACTGGTTAAAATCAGTAACCATGGAAATGAGGTGTTTGAAAATAAATGTAGGAGTGACCAGAAGAGATGAAATCAGGACAGAGGTCATACAAGATAAAGTCAGCACAGAACCAGTTTTAAATTACATACAAAGACAGCAAATCAAATGGTTTGCTCACTTGTAGAGAATGACTTCTGATTCTATACCATACAAGGTATAAAACAAAAGAGTAGAGAAACGTAGAGCCACGGGTAGACCAAAAACAAGATGGGAAAACATCTCATCAGAGAAACTCTACAACACCACGATGAGTATATGATCAAATCAGCCAGAAAAGCACGAAGTGGGGCCTTATCTCTCTCTTGACACCAAAAGCGGTAAAAGAGGATGTAAAGAAGGAGAAGAAGACCCACTGGTAACAACAGATACGAGTAAAAGACAAATAATATTGCGCTGTTGGACACGATCTGAAAAGAAGCGAGCAGCGGGTCAACAGCAGAGAATTACCAACAGGTATTAAAATGGGAAATACACTTGTATCTATGCAGAGGGTTCTCCGCACGATTTTTTAGATTAACTGGTTCACAGTCCATATGTTTCGCCGTCAATGGCTTAGGCTTTGCGAGTCCGACTCGTAATTCCAACGTAACGCGATCGAAACCCACTGCTGGCTGCGTGGATTTGTATCATGGTTTGGGGTATCGCAGGTCGACCCAGGCTTAAGTAGGTACCAGGATGCATGTCCTGGGGAAGTAAAGAAAGCCGGCGTAATGCTGACCACATTACCATATGCCCGATGCGCTTAAAGGCGTGGAAAGGTATTTTTTACTTTTACTGTCCATATTCAATTGCGGATTAGGAAAGGATTAATATTGCCTGTAAGAGTTTTCTTTCTCGCTCTCCCTCTCTCGCTCTCGCTCTCTCTCTCTCTCTTTCTCTCTCTCTTTCTCTCACATTCTCTCTCTCTCATTCTCTCTCTCATTCTCTCTCTCTCATTCTCTCTCTCATTCTCTCTCTCATTCTCTCTCTCATTCTCTCTCTCATTCTCTCTCATTCTCTCTCATTCTCTCTCTCTCATTCTTTCTCATTCTCTCTCTCTCATTATCTTTCTCTCATTCTCTCTCTCATTCTCTCTCTCTCATTATCTCTTTCTAATTCTCTCTTTCTCTCATTCTCTCTCTCATTCTCTCTCATTCTCTCTCTCTCATTCTCTGTATATCTCTCTTTTTAAATGTGGCATTATACCTATTTCTACAGACTACACTTCCCTGGGTGCCCCCAGACACAAAGTTGTCGAAGCTGGACACACTACGCCTGGCCTCCAGTTACATCGCCCATCTCAAGCAAATCCTAGACCACGAGGAGAGCATGCACGCTGCTGGCTTCATTCATCCACTGAATCTGGTAAGTGCATTCATGTCATCCACTGAATCTAGTAAGTACAGTCATGTCATCCACTGAATCTGGTAAGTACAGTCATGTCATCCACTGAATCTGGTAAGTACATTCATGTCATCCACTGAATCTACTAAGTACAGTCATGTCATCTACTGAATCTAGTAACTACAGTCATGTCATCCACTGAATCTGGTAAGTAAATTCACGTCATCCACTGAATCTACTAAGTACAGTCATGTCATCCACTGAATCTAGTAACTACAGTCATGTCATCCACTGAATCTAGTAACTACAGTCATGTCATCCACTGAATCTACTAAGTACAGTTATGTCATCCACTGAATTTGGTAAGTACATTCATGTCATCCACTGAATCTACTAAGTACAGTTATGTCATCCACTGAATCTACTAAGTACAGTCATGTCATCCACTGAATCTACTAAGTACAGTCATGTCATCCACTGAATCTACTAAGTACAGTCATGTCATTCACTGAATCTACTAAGTACAGTCATGTCATCCACTGAATATAGTAAGTAACTGTTCCACGGGAATTTGAGCCCGCGATCTTTGTATCCGTAGACGAGATTCTAGCCACGACACCATGCAGCTCACCGGGTTAACAGCATAAATAAACCCAGGTATTGAGTGCTAGGTTGGTATTAAAAAAACTGGCACTGGATGTGTGTGATGTAGTGGACAGTACACAGACCGCCTTTACTTCCAAGGACATTACCTGGTACACATTTTATGCTGAGTCGTCATTAAAAATAAATTTCGCTTCAATACAGATTTGAACCTGAAACCTTCTGGTCTTGTGAGATGATATCCCTGAGTTGAATTGCATTTAGAACAGTCGCCCCAGAACTCGTAAGATTCCTATAAGTATTCCGTCCTTCCATCTCCAGCAACCATCAAAGAATTTATTCCGTCCCTCCATCTTCAACAGCCATCACAGAGTTTAATCCGTCCCTCCATCTCCAGCAGCCATCGGAGAATTTATTCCGTCCCTCCATCTTCAACAGCCATCGAAGAGTTTATTTCGTCCCTCCATCTCCAGCAGCCATCGAAGAGTTTATTCCGTCCCTCCATCTCCAGCAGCCATCGACGAATTTATTCCGTCCCTCCATCTTCAACAGCCATCGAAGAGTTTATTTCGTCCCTCCATCTTAAGCAGCCATTGGAGAGTTTATTCTATTCTACCATCTCCAGCAGCCATCGCAGAGTTTATGAAGTTATGGAGTAAAATAAAATTGTTAGTGGGTCGCCACAACATGAGGGAACTATAATAAATGGTCGCGGCATTAGGAAGTTTGAGAACCACTGACTTAGATAATATTTCCATTCCCGGAACCGCCGTGCAACTTTGGGCCTATTGTGACAAAGGATAAGCGAAACGGAGAATTATTTTCTTAGCAGTAAAGCCGGGAAAACCCCCCGTTCCGAAGACAGAACATGAGATGACCTAGATGGCATGGAAAACAAACACGGTGCAGAGGTGAACTTAGTCTATGGGAGAGAAATGACGTTTTCATAGAGTGAAAAAAAAGTTGGTGTATTTCAAGTTTCTCGTTAGATAATAAATACAGATAGTAACATTTTTCGGCCATTTATTGAGTAATAGGGGTCAGGCCTACCCCAAACAAGGGAAATCCACAGGTCACGGGACAGTCTAATATTTTAGGGGGTGATAGATAGGCAGTCGTGGGACCTAGGCTGTATGCATTCGTGGTACCTAGGCTGCACTCTCTCGTGGGACGTAGGTGGGTTGGGGTTAGGGACAGTTTTAGATGTTTTGGGGTGGTTAAAAGCATCAGAAAGCCGGAAAACCCAGTCCTACCACCCTCTAAAATGTTGGACTGTCCCTTAAAGTCATCTGGGGTAGGATAAAAATAAAGAACCGCGGTCAGTATTAATCACTTTTCATATTCTTCTTCTTCTTCTTCTTCTTTTTTCTTCTTCTTCTTCTTCTTTTTCTTCTTCTTCTTCTTCTTCTTCTTCTTCTTCTTCTTCTTCTTCTTCTTCTTCTTCTTCTTCTTCTTCTTCTTCTTCTTCTTCTTCTTCTACTTCTTCTTCTTCTTCTTCTTCTTCTTCTTCTTCTTCTTCTTCTTCTTCGTCTTCTTCTTCTTGTAGTCCATTTCGTGTGGTTGTTGTAGTATGTGCCTATCCATAACTTTCTGTCTCATGTACTTTCAGTCAGTTCTGACACAAAGGACCTTCCCTAGTTCACGTCGTTTGGCATTGATAGTTATGTCTATCGATAAATTTCTGTCTCGTGTATTTTCAGTCAGTTCTGACACTGACATCCTTACATAGTTTATGTCGCGTGGCGTTGATAGTCATGCCTATCACAAACTTCTAGCTCGTATACTTTCAAACACCTCCTACACAGATGATCAACCATACCACGATGTCAAATTGTCCAGCATCTTCTATATGGGTCTCCCTCACATCATTTCCCCTCTAAGTTTCCCACGGTCATGATGTACTCCTGTTGTTTCTCATGGCATGACCAAAGAAAGTAGATTGTCTTTAGTGTAAAGACGTAAGCTTTCTTTGTACGATTATCGTGGTAGGTTACAACTTCTTTCTGTGAGAGCAGCTCCCTTAGTAGGCGGGTTGTCCTAGCCATTGTGCCTATAGAGGCACCCTCTGCCTAGCACAGTTAAAGTGGTGACCAGTTCTGAAAACTACTCACTGTTTTTCTTCTTTACCTGACTAGCATCACGTAAATTGTAAAAACGCACCATCGGTTAACTATACATTTCTCTCTCTCTCTCTCTCTCTCTCTCTCTCTCTCTCTCTCTCTCTCTCTCTCTCTCTCTCTCTCTCTCTCTCTCTCTCTCTCCTTTAAACAGTGTATATTTGGAAGAATATGAAATGTATATTCTTTTAGATTTTAGAGATAATTTCTGTAATCGTTAAGTAGACCCCTTAACCCGCTCATAATGTCTATCTAGGTGGGGGTGGGGGACGGGGGTTGAGTAGATGGGGAAGGGGTTAAGTGGGTTGAGTAGATGGGGAAGGGGTTAAGTAGACGGAGGAGGGAATTGACTAGATGGTGGAGAGGTATAGTAGATTAGGGAGGGGTGAGTAGATAGGGAACGGGGGTGAGGGGTTAAAGAGACTGGGGAGGGAGGGAGTTAAGTAGATCAGGGAGAGGGTTGGCTAGATGGGGTAGGGGCGGGTTGGGTAGATGGGGAGAGTGGGGTTCCTTATGGCATCCCAGGTCCCCCAGGTTTCGATGCCTCTGTTGCCATTTGCATCTTTCTTTGAACATATGGACAGATAACATTTGACACTATGATAGTACTTGCCAGAGGCCTACAACGGGGATCAATCACGTGACTGCTGTTTTATCACACACGTTCCCTAACCACCCGAGGCGCCGTGGTGTAACGGCTAGATTCTCGCCTGTGGATAGGCAGGTCAAGGGTTCAGATCTGAAAGGAACCGGAATTTCGTTTTTTCAAAACATGACCTTGGCTCCCAGGTTGACCCATCCTTGAGAAATTGTCCTGGGAAGTAAAAGCTGTCTGCGTGATGTTGACAACATCACCCATCAAGTGCCGTTTGGTCTATGAAATATAGGTCTAGCCCTATATGCCCAATACCTCTGATGGCGTGGAAACGGGTCATTTTCTTTACTTTTACTTCACACGAACCACACGTTTTCGTTTCTATAATTAATTATGTTTACTGAAAAGGTTAAAAAACTTGATGCTTTAAGTGTTATGTAAACACATTATTTATGTTCAGTGATAATATACATTAAAAGCGAAATTTTAATTATACGACAGTTCTGCAAAATAACCTCATTACATTTAATATCTAACGTCTGGCATGTTTGTGGCTGCACTTTGAGGTATGGAAAGCCAAGAAATCATATTTGTAATTTCTATCACCCTTACTTCTTTTGCTGCCCAATCCTCCCAGTGAAGCATAGGCCCCCAGCCATCTGTTAGGCTCAGTAGAAGATATGTATCCTTGAAGCTTGGGAACAAACGATGAAAGCTTTCTTTTATTCGTAGGCAACCTGGCATCGGTGACCGGGTCGCCTATTGGCTCGCCGGTAGACAACTTCGCCACCGGTTGGGATAGTATCTGGTTTGTCTCCTCTGATCGCATCAGCACTGCATGCGTCCTTGTCATGGCTCTAGGTGGCGTGCAATGCTAATATCAATTTTATATGGCGCAAATAACCTAGTCACAATTATAACCTGCCCCCCCCCCCGCCTTTCAGAAATGCAGGTTAAACGGAACGTAGGCTACCGTCAGTCCTCAAGGACAATGGAGCTGCTCGTTTTGGGAACATTGTCGTGACTGTTGAATCCGATACGGTAATGACACCGTTTTTAGCCAGTTCTGCACCGCTCAGTGGTGAACTGATGCGTGACAGGCTTTGATTTTGTGAGGGCTCTTTAGGAGCGATTGAACAGTGCGGAGGCACAGAAAGATCATTACGGTTCGGGGAGAATGGCACTGCGAAGAGTTAGAAGGGGATCTGGCCGGCGCTCAACACTGATGGGAAAGGCGGGACGGATATACAATTAGATAGTTACTGGTGTTATCCGAATTGGAACTCTTCGCTTGCTGTTGAAGATGGAAACGGAGTGATTATGTGGGTGCCCGAGTGCTGTGATGTCGATTCTTAATTCAACAGGAATGGCAGTTTTTGCAACAAAGACTAAACAGTTGATACTTTTCAATGACATCTCCTCACTATAGTCTGGTGCTTTAGACGTTTTACACAGCGTGACAGTCCGTCTCTTTCACTGTCAACTGTCACTGCTGTCTGTATTTACTATTTTTTAAGGCGACATTATTTCCAGTTGTGTTCACTTCAGCGTGTTTTTTTATTTTTTATTTTCGTCAAAAAGTTTCATGTGTGACGGGATCCCATTTTATTAGAAAATAGAATAGACACACTGTTCCCCCTCCCCCTCCCGCCTCAACAAGCGACTAATTATGAAAGTTTCCTTCGAAGTCAGAGTGCGCCTGTCTG